CCCCAAGAAACCTTCCAGCACCTCATTGAAAGCATGTCGGCAAGAGTGGAAGCTGTCATCAAGTCAAAGGGCGATACTAACTATTTAGCCACGTGACCGGATACTTTTGATCTATCTATCTTTTGAGTATCTAGCTAGTGTCGAAAAACCGCCTCCGTCGAAACTCGAACCAATTGAATGTTGCTGCAGGGGAAACGATGCTACTCCTGACCTGTCACAGCCGACCATCAATACGTGGTGACTCACCTGGTATTGCTGGCTGAGCGGAGAGAGGCCGTTGCTCTTGATCTGCTCGTCGAGGAACTGGTCGAGCGTGTTGGCGTCGATGGAGGCGAGCGGCGGCTCGTCGTCCCTGTTCTTCTTCATGATGTTGGCGCCCCTGCGCAGCAACGTGAGCACCAGGCTCTCGTTGCCGAAGTAGGCGGCGTCGTGCAGCGCCGTGTCGCCGAACTCGTCCTGCGCGTCGATGTCGATGGGCGCGTGGCGCATCTTGTCGACGGCGTCCAGCCACATGGCCAGCGCCTCGGTGTGCGCCGGCCGCTCGCGGTGCGCCAGCAGCAGCTCCAGGCACTTGGCCATGGCCTGCTCCTCCTCCTGCAGCACGCGCGCGCCCCCTCACTCAGCCACCGAGGCCCTGCGCTTCGCGTGCCGTTCCCTGAGCATGTTCCTCCCTCACTGCATAGACACATCCGGCGCCCATCTACTCTCCGGATGGGGTTTCCCCCCAGGTATCTCCCCACTCGCTTGTTAGCTAGGTCGGATTCAGTCGCTGACTGGAGGAGAATTCCAGCGATCACCTGTTCTGATCGGTAGTTTCCCGTGATTTCTCCGATCAACAGGACTTAACTGACAGAGCAGTACCGTATCAAATGGGCCACGGACTGCGCGTGATCTCACCTTCCTCCTCCTTGTCCTAACATCACTCCTTACACTCACTTACACTAACACGCACTACACTGTTACACATGCTGGGAATCCCGACAGGAGCTAAGAACTTGTCCCGTCTGGAGCCGTGCCCTGCTGATGGGAGATACCTGGTGGAGGGAAAACCCATTAGACGACGGTAGGTCGGTGCCGAAACTCGCCATACAGCGGGGGAAAGATCACCGCCACCTCCCGAGCAAAAACATGCATGACACTTGCGGGACTAATGACCCCCGGAGTTGAGGTGCCCGAAATCACTAAACAATCAATATAGGTATATTCCCCAACATGTCGCTGCCTGAGAGAGATGTCAAAGAATTACAATTGTGTAATTTTTGAAAAACAAACAAACGAATAGGGAAAAATGGCATTTATGACATCTTACTCAGTACATTTAGCACTATATTTACGAACAGTTTAAAGGGCAAATGAGGTGCCTTTCTGATATTTTTTAAAATTATTTAATATTGCACATATTTTACTCCTTAATGCGCGTTAACCAATACAATTTTCAAAAAATGTACATAACCTTAACAAAACAACTAATTAAGGAGAACAAATTTCATTTAAAGGAACTATTTCTATGTATTTTTCGTAGTAGGAAGATGGTGAAACATTTTCAATCTTTTGCAATTTTCGAAAATTTAGAGTTATTAGTCAAAATCGGGCCTGTGTTACCTTTATAAGTGTATTTCACTCTATTCATAAAATAAATTTTAAAAACTTGGAGACATTTCTGAGAAAAAAAATTAAATTGTCCCAGGGACTTAATGCAAAATATCTCCAAAATTAATTAATGTTTTTCAAAATTGCAGAGCTTCTAGTGATGCCACGTCAACATAAACTTGTATTCTACTTGCATAACAGTAAAATTAGTGAACATTAGTTGCTTCTGGCGGAAAACTCCCAACGTTGCGCATTCGCAAAATTCCGTTCACCACAAAAAAGCTTCACCCAAGTATGAACATATATATAGGTAAACTGGTTTTGTTATAATCGGGACATTAGAATATTGAACTGAAATTTAAGATATAAATGAAGTGATTTAAAGTTTGTAAGAAATGGGTTAAGAAAACCAAATATTTTGACAAAAGATGTACATAACTAATATTAATTGAAAGACCTTGTATTGAAGAACCAGTTTCTTTTTAAAGAAATCGGTGAATCTCTAATCATAACAAATAATTTTAGAGATACCTACTTGTGAAGAACATTGTTTTCTCGCTACTATGTGCAGTGCGGTACTTCCAGAATTGTTTGTAATGTTGAGTTTTGCGTGCCCCTTATGAATGAGCACTTTCAAGGCTTTGTAGTTTGCGTTTTCTGTTGCTTGGTGCAGCGCTGGAACGCCATATATAATGTTCTTAGTGTCAGGGTCAGCTTTGGCGTCGATCAAAGCATCGACAAAGGCCTCCCAGTCACTGTGACGGCAGGCGAGTTCCAGACATGTACAGTAGTATGGATCGTCGAACCTGAAAAGAAAGAAAGAGAGGAAAACAATTGAATTACACGTTCCAGCGTAAACATTATTTGCTTACGTCTCAAACATTTTTAACATTGTTATTGCTTACATAATTTTTGCATTGATTTGACAACAATGACTTGGGAGCATATTGTTGTGAATTCGTCTTATTGTTACATGATTTATCTACATGATAAACAGTCATAATTGTCAAATTTGTCTTGATATTTGCTGTGCGAATACATCGGTGAATTTGTGACAGAAAAACTATTATATAGGGCCCTGACAACGAAAAAGTGAATGAATCTAGATGCTAAATTTAGAAAAAATCCTCAAATACGTGGTGTAATCAGAACCCATGTTTTGTGTGTCCTTCATACCGAAAAATCAATTGACGGCAATATACCTGTCCGTCTGTACACGATCTCTGTGAGCAACGCTTGCGGCTGAACCGTTCAGCAGATTTTCTGCAAAATTGATCGATCTGGCTGATGTCGCGACCCCTTGAATTTGAAATTGATATTTCAATTAGAATAGTAATTATTAATATTTTCTTGTTTTATAACTATTATTTGATAACGGCCTGATGATGAAGGCGAAATGTTCTTCGAAACGTTGTCAATAAACTTTGTGAAGTGTATTAAATATGTAAAGGAATCATTTCTGTTTTAATAAATGTGACTCTCTATAATGAACATTTCGAAATTTATCACAATTTTATATAATCAAATAAGGACAGACAGACGTTAGATTTTATGGTGTACATATTGTGTTGGGAGAGATAACGTTCATTTTAAAATTAGTTAATTATTTATTTTTGTATGATTATGTACAGAATTGATGCTAGCGTTTATTGGAACAAAGGCTCTCTTCCATTGACAATATAATATTTCGCTCTACTTAAGAAGCCTACGATTGAGCAGTTTTTAACCTGCGATGGGATTAATACCTTTCAAGTCTATCCCTGGGAGTGAGTTCACTGGGGCACCGTCGCAGACTTAATAACTTGCATTTTTAGTCACAAAACGTTTCGTTGTTTTCGGATTATTCTCGAATTCCTGGCTAACTAATGAAAATACATCTCTCACAATTTCTCACTTGCCCAGAGACTGCATAATGTTTTTCAATTTCTGCGTGAATTGCGAAGTAGTAATGTAGATATCTCAATCTATGTGCGATATATTTGAAAATGGTAATATAAATGATACTGCGGGAGCGTATTGTTGCTCAACTACACTCCCATTTAAACATAGAGACACTTCAAGGTCACGAGTCGGAGGGCGTCATCCAACCGGGAGCTCTAATAGGGAAACGTTAAGTCGTAACAAAGCTCCGGATTGCATGTGTATACCGTGTCCCGCATCCCGGTCAGCTGGTGCCCTTGAAGTGCCGCTGCGTTTCAACGGGAGGGTTGCGTGAGCGGACGCCAGAGGCTGACCAGTGGTTGGGGTCGACGGCGCCGCTGCGCAGCAGGCGCCGGAAGCGGTCGAGGTCGCCGTGCTGCAGCGCCGCCAGCAGCTGCAGGTGCGCGTCCGCGTCCGACAGGCTCTCCTTGCGCGGCACCTCCGGGATGTAGCGGCGCAGCCTCGGGAACTGCCGCTCCACCACCTGCCGCAGGCTGCTGGCGTTCTTCGCGTACGAGTAGTCCAGGTTGAGGCGGTCGCGTCCCAGCTCCAGCATCACCTGCCACCGACTTTCGTAAGAACGGACCGCTTTGGCGGCTAGTGCTGGCAACATAACGAAAGGTTCTGTGGACGTTATGACCAGGGTCTTATAACTACTCTGTAACGTGGTAAAAACCATTACGGGGGCACCGGTACGAGTTCGCCGTCACAAGCAGGCTCTTAATGCTCCAAAATATTGCGCCTATGCTCGCGCTTTATTCAGAGGTTTCTTTTATGTGTATATTATAATTGAACATTTAGAAGATACTTTTTTATTTCTCACAAATTAGCCGATTTTTTTGTTAGAAAGTTGGCGAGCCTAACCTGCTGTAGTACCTGGCGACACAAGCGCCTCCTAAAGTAGCACCCTCGAGCTTCGTCCCCTGTTTTGATGGAGAGTTGAAGCCCTAGTTGTGACCTTCTGCTCATTTGACTCTCCTTTGTTCATTCGTTCGTTTGCAGTTGGATAACTAGTAAATGGCTTCTACGCTTTCTTTTGTAGTGTCCTCGTCCTACGAAAACGTAGTTCGTCCCGAGAAATAATTGAAATTAGGACGTGCAGTGACACTGTGCTCTTCTGTAAAAAGTCTTTATTTTATAAACATTACATTCATTTTACGTTTTGTGCAATGAGTATTATGTTTATTTGAGAACCGAGTCTTCAACGTCAAACGCGTACTGTCGCACGAGTTTCCTGCTCCTATACGGTGGCGAGCTGTGATTGAAAACGTTTCGTGCGGCGCAGGGGCGCATAGGCACATTGGCGCAGGGGAGAAGGGACGCTAGGGCGCTGGAGCGCTGGGCGCTGGGAGCAGAGGCGCAGGGGAGCAGGGGCGCAAGGAGGCAGGGGCGCTGGGGCGCAGGGGCGGTGGTGCGCAAGGGCGCCGGCGCTCACCTGGATGCGCTCCTCGTAGGGCTGCTGCGCCGCGGTGGAGAGCGCCGTCTCGCCGATGGCGTCGGGGCGGTTCACCTCGAAGCGCGGGTGCGCCATGAGCATCTCGATGCAGCGCTTGTGCGCCGCCGTGTCGCGGATCTCCCAGAAGGTGGTGGCCATGTAGTGCAGCGCCGTCGCCCCCAGGTGGTCCATGGCGCGCGGGTCGGTGCGCGGCTCGCTCAGCAGCAGGTGCAGCGCCTTGTCGTTGCTCTGCAACCCCGCATACACACATCAAGTTCATTTGGCAGAGTCCCGCCATTATGTCTTCATTTAATGCTGATTACTAGCAATAAAAAACATTGAAAATTCTACGAGCAAGGTGTCTGGAATTGGATTCCTAATGTGTCATCATTAAGCAATAAAGGCAACAAGACATGGCTACCATAGTATACACTGAAAATATATCTTGATGATATTACTTTCTCATTGTAATGGGCTTATCCAAAGGATACATGCGAATATAAAACTTCGGTTCATTCTATGAGACAAACATTACTATGCTCGTTGTATGTTCTTACCCGGTAGGCCGCAGTATGCAGAGGCGTTCTCTTCATTACGTCGCTGGCGTTGGGGTCAGCCCCTGCCTCCAGCAGGGCCGACAAGAATTGGCACTGTTCCTCTGTCCAGCAGGCGTTAATCAGCAGTGTAGACTGAAATAAAGGCTTCCTGTCAATTAAACAATTTGTTAAAATTTTCAATCACAAATTTACTGTTCAGTAGGAGAAACTGTCGTACTTTGGGACTCTTTTCTTGTTTTAACTTTCTACTTTCTTTCCTTATGAATTATTCGTTAGAAGAGAAAGTTGTGTAATCGTTCGCCAGAAAAGGCCGAAAACAATCATAAAAAAAAACTTTTTCTCTTTTTTTTGATGTGAAATTGTTCATGTTCATCTGATTGTGTTGCAACACATTTTTAAGTGTAATACTCGTAATAATATTTTTAAGAACATTCAATAAGGTTCTTTTTGAGATAATTTGTATTCAATGTGTCTCTAGGTACATTGTACTGATGTACCAGATGTAATAAATAGTGTGTAAAGAAAAAATAAATTCTTATTGCATTTAATTACAAACACAGATTGGTCCTGGGGCTTATGTTCTGTTCTCAAAGTCAACTTCATAGAATGAAACAAAAACATTGTTTAAACACAAACGACTTCAATGTAGATTATAACTTGGAAAGAAAAAAGTAATATAGCTGCCTTCGAGAACAACTATCACAGATGTATCAGGAAGCTTAATTTCCTTGTACTCTGGGTCAACTTATACGTTGCAGAACCTTCATTAATTTTGTATAAGTGAATCATTATATGTGTAGTTTTTAAATATTGTCTGATAAAGTTTTCCGATTCGTCCTTTTATTTCCTATATGAAATATCGCTGAACAACGTCATACGATCTTTAACAACAGTCAAAATCGCACTATTAATTGTTTCCACTAGTGGTTTAAACGTTTTGTTGTATCCTTTGCTGCACGGCATGGCCAGATTGCATCCTGAAAGCAACTGAATTCCATTGACTACACTTATGTACCTAGGGAGGGCAGGTCCCTAGGTACACCAACAGTTACTTCCTCTAGGTACAACAATCTGAAATCATGAATGTACATGGTTACTGTTAATTGTAGTTTACTTGCAAGGAAGAATACACTTCGACATAACTATATTCTGTGTTAGTCTTCGAACACATGCTTTGCCCTAGGTATATCTGTCACTAGATACGACAGTTTCCTCATTATATATTTCTTTCTTTGCTAAGTATTCACATAATATATTTATTTCTGTGGTTAGTAAGTTTGAAAAACAATCATGGTTATTTTAGTTAAGAATGTATATACTTCGTTCATGATTGCTAAATGGGTGAGAATGCGAAATACTTAAGGATACAATAGTAGCCAATAATTAACACATATATAGGTATTCGAATATTCTGAGCATCCCCACATAGTTTTTTACTGTCATAAATATTCCATTAATTTGCAAATATCAGTACAATTCAACAAGAGGACGAAAGTATTCGACTCCACCTGTGTATTGAGAGAGTTTGAAGTATTTATATGAATAGTTTCCAGAACCAACCTACAAAAATAATTCCGACCTGACTCCAGAGGCCGGGTATCTGAGCATATGCGTAATATTAATGAGATTTCGGATCGACATAATTCAATTACGACACACAGGCTGGACAGTGGTCATTCCATCAACTTTGGGAATGTGGAAATATTGGAGTCAGAACGGAATTATTTTTCTTGGTTGGTTCTGGAATCGCTTCATATAAAAACTGCAAACTCCCTCAAAACACAGGTGGAGTCGCCTACTTTCCCGTGTCTCTATGACTCTTTGTCTTATGAAACTTTTGAGATAAATAATGCTTTGTATGGTTTCTAACCACATATTTTTCTTGTACTTTGTTTTAGTGAAAGTTGTCTTTATATATAAATTGTGTAATTTCTATTCAAATTCTTTTTAACATATTTTTAGTTTTATTTTCTCGTTTACTATGTCCGGCCGAAAGATGCGAGAAAAGGATTACCCTGAAACGTTGCACTCAAAACTGAATGAACTTTGTATGATATGATTGCTCTAAAAATCAGAATAAACTTTTGTTATCTATAAACTGCCTGTCGATTAGAACTCAATAGCCAAATTCAATTTACAAGATATAATAATATGATTTTCCTCTCGAAAAATACATAAAATAGCAACAAGAAAAACCAACTGTTTTTTTGTTCTACAGATTGAAGAAAAAGGTATTGTGCAGGTGAGAACAGCATAAATTTCTTATTTTAATTTATTTTGAACAGATTTATCATTCCAGAAAAACATTAACTCATGCGGCATTTTCACTATCTTATCCTGCTGTCCTTTTGGAAGATTTTTTACACTGATATGGAATTATGTTGAAAGTCATGAAATATAACATTAATATTTTTTGCTATTACGTTATCTTTAATTCTTATATGATAATTCTTGAACTAATGCGATGATGACGGACTAATTTGAGCTTAGATTTTGTATTTTAAACCATTATCAGTTCTTGTAGTTATTGAGTAATAAAATTACGAAAAAATAACTAAAAACTTCAGAACCGAAAATAAATGTCTGCAATTGTCTAGAAATATATTAAATATTTATGAATTATTAATTATTTACAACAAATTGCTGTTTTCGCCTCCGATACGTTGAAAATTATGAAGCTTTGGTAATGCCATTACAGTTTGATATTGTCGTAAACGAGTTTCTTGGATCTTGGCCTTGGTTTCTTGGGTCCGGTCATGTAAGCGTTATTGTGAAGCAGCAATTTCCTGGAACACCGATCGAAGCTCCTTGTAAGCTGGCCCCGTTGCCTGTGATCCCGTTCGCATTCATATTTAAACCTACACGGGAAAACAGAAATATCGTGTTTGAACTATCCAACGTATTTAAAAGAATTTACTCAGTGCGATCGTCAAGTTACAGCAATTTGACACAATTTAAAGGCCGATATTCACTTAATAACAGTGTACGCCGCATTCATAATTTATTTAATGGAATGTTGCCAAACTAACAAATGTATTTTTCTGCTTTCAATCGTTCTGCTAACCGTACAGCGATATTTGCAGCACAACATAGTGTGGCAATAAAGTGAGTGAGCTTAATATTGTGGGAAACAAGAGATATTTAAAGTGATGTCGAAACCTGTAGAAGTAGGTTTTCTTCCACGTAACTACTACATGAATTTATTGCAGTTTATAAAAAATATATTTTCTCAAAGAACAGCTCAACAGTTTTTTCATTAATTTTTTTAATGGGTAAAACTAGTGATGCATAAAAGAGTGGGGCAGATCTTATTTTCCTTCATTTCTCTAAATTTTCGAATTCTTCGTGAAGGAAATAATGAGTGAGACAATTAGATTTTCAAGTGTCGGTCCTCCAAGTTGACACGTCAGATTGGCTGCCTGGGGTAGCAGCAAGACGCAGGTCCAGTTAACTCGGAGGACCTGATTTCGAGTCAAGGCGCAGAAAATCATTTTTCTGTTTGGCACAGTTTTTCAGGTTCATGTACTAGTATAACATTGCGAGGACGTTACAAATAATGCGATCAATTATGTGCTGTTGTATCATCACTATCATCACTCCCAATGTCACTCAAATGTATGCGAAAACTATCTTCGAATATTTTGGAAAAAAGTTTATACTTAGAGTAGTAAGTGAGATCTAACTTTTAAGATATTTCAATTATAATTAGTGATGTTACAGACATTTGAAAATACAGACGTTTTCAACGAATACTACAGAATGTATGCATTTCTGCACGTTATCGGATAGAGTAATGACAATTTCACGAGCCGTGCGAGAATATTATTCGTGATCGGCTGTCGATTTATACTCTCTGTCTGTTGACGCATCCCATTCGTCTTAGTCCCTTACACACCCCAGAGGGTTCTCGCAATCGCCAACAGAGGGCATGAGCTCTGAGCGCTCTGTCGTGACAGATCGCAACTATCGTGCGACAGCTGAACAACGAAATAGTGTGCGAGTTGTTTGGGTAGAAAACATTACACAGTAGCCGTACATAAAGGTTAAGTCGTCCTGATTGGTTTACAAATGTGGATTCTAGCAGCAGTATTAGTGATGAAGGTAATGTAGACTGCAAACTATCAGAGATTCTGAAAGCTGCAAAAACTTCAACAAATAACTTGTTACTGGAGAAATGTATGATAAATCATGTAATGCTTTCATTGAGTGCGGATTACTAACTGCCAATTCTTTTTCTGAGAATGTTCTATTAACGTATTTTACAATGCTTGCAGAATTGAAAATGAATTCATAACAGTGGCTTCAGACGATAAACATCTTGCAACAAAGGTAAGACTTTTTATTATGTAGACATAAATATGCTACTTAAAGGTTATTCCATAAGATTGCATTGATCGTGGGTATAATGGGAGCCTGTCGTAACAATGAATTTCACTTGTTTAAATTAGAAGACGTACAAGAACTTGGAACTGCTCTTTTGGGCAGATTACACAGGGCTAGAACATTTACGGTAAATGAAATTTTTTATAAAATATGTAAGAAGTACGCTGATCTTCGCCCAACTAATGTCAAAGCAAGTATTTTTAATTATGAACACGAAAATGCACTATTCAGCAAATAGGCAGAAATAAATTTGGATCCGTGGGCAAACAAATAGTATCTGAAGATGCCGTATCCAAATCTTTACACTGGGCATCCACATAACCTTCTGCTGGTCTTGGGTCACAATGTTTATTGATGCAAGAATGGATATAATATCTCTGAAAAGACATGGCCGATTGAAGAGTACGTGGGTAGCGGAAGGTTATGTGGATGATTCTATGTCAAACTTCGTAACTGTTCACCGTTAACACTCTATTGCAGGGCTGATCAAGCAGAGCGAATCGGGAGCGCCGAGCCGCGTTAGCTGTCGAGAGCACGACACCGAAGTCCGAGCATTGAGTGACATTTAGAATTTTATAAAGACGTCCCTCAAAAACGTTTTTCGAAATACTGCTCGAATGTTAAAAATGTTTGGATCAACGTACAATTGTGAGCGGTATTTTTTCTTTGAAAATTTGTAAATCTGGAATGAGAAGTTCCATTACCGATCAAAATGTGAAATGCATGAAGAAAAATTAGCTTCGTTTTTTAAATTTGAATTTCTTTTACTGTCAGTATTTCCTTTATTAATTTAGTGACATTACTTTCGTTAATCTTTAGTATACTTTTCATAATCATCTGCATGATAAACTGTAACGTCGCAGGAATTAAAAATCTTAATGTGATTAATCACTGTTTTCTAATTAAAAATTTGGCATATCGGGCGCAATCTACAAAAATAAATTTTGTTCTTTTCATGCTGCACTGAAAATTGTTTTTTATACTTCGAACACAAAAATATGTATAACTAGTAAATATCCCAATAAATGTTACAAAAGTATTTTACTGGATTTCTGTCGGGATATTATTTTCCAGAAAAGTGAGACATTTTCAGTCCGAGCAATGGAAACTACTTCGAAAAAACGAGACGGGTCCCACTGCCATCGATCGAGAAAAGATGACGTAATCTGCTCATGGGGCCGCCGATGGGGCTGCTAGAAAGAGCAGGGAGAAAGCAGCGGCTCCTCCTGGGAGCAGATCGCTGGGGGCCTCGACTGCAATCGATTGGACATAACACAGCTATCATTCAAAATACTCGTGTAGAGGAAACAACAAGTTTAATAAAAATTTGACAAACATTTTTGGGAAAAAAACTGAAAATGACCTTGAGGGTTAATGTAAAGTACAAAAGTAAAGTAAAGTATAAAGTAAATATAGTATCAAGTAAAAATGTATACATACCCAAGTTCAAGGAATTGCAACATCAGCAAAGGAGTGGGAAAATCAGTTTTGGTAAAAATTCTTCCTAAGGTATAACCGCTAGCGTGTTCACGGACGGATCGACATGCGGATAGATATTTTGCTATAAACCAATTTGTTCAGTATCAAGGACTCACAAAATGTAGATTTTGACTAGGGAAGGTGTTAGAATAAATAATGTAAAACATATTGGAGCAAGCAGAATCCTCTTTTTCGGTATCATTTATCTACAGTGTGAATTTTTCTGCTGAAATATCGCCGATTTTGGCTGCAGCAATAAGTAACATTCTGTATACTATATATGTAATATGTGATATAGTAATTAGTGGTGGCAGAGAATGGCGCAGACTTTCTCTTCTTACTTTTCTATTTTCTTTGGTCCGAGCTTGCTCTTCTGCTTTGCCCTATCGTCTTAACTGCTACCATTCATTCAAAGTACATGTTTATGAACTTTTCTCAAGTTTTCGTATTCTGAATGTAGAATTATTATTTTAAGAATATTAGAGAAAAGTAAAATCTCGTTCTAAATGAAATTTTTTATTCAAAAATTTAGAGCCGTTTTTAAGAAAAAGTACTATGAATGCAAAATTTGCAGTACTTTGAATGCAAAAATCTTTCCACAGAAAATATTGCATTTTCGAAAAACTTCATCGAAAGTCACATAAAGCGCTTCCAGCCACAAATACAATAGTGTTTACAAATTGCTTGAAATAGGCATATTAAAGGCGTGATAGATATTTAAAAAAAATAGATTTGTGTAATTTAAAAAAGAAAAGAATACAGCAATATAAACTTTTTCACATTAAACAGTGCACTATACGTTGGAAAAGTTTAAGAAAAAATTAGGGCAATTTTTGTGAAAATGGCGTTTGAGTGTTTTTTAAAATGTGGCAATTTCAGTTCATTTTAACAGAAAACTGTTGACTTTTGAGAAACTTAATATGACACTATTTAATGTAAATGTACTCATCAACACATTGCGGGCAAATTATCGCTAATGTGGATATTAACGACATGAGAAAGAAGTAAAAAAATTACATATTTGTGATTTTTGAAAAAAAACAAAAGAAGAAAGCAATATGGCGTTTATATCATCTTACAGACTGTATTTAGCATTATCCCTTCCAAAAGTTTAATGAACAAATTTGGAACAGTTTTCGAGAATATATTCTTTTTCATATATTTTAATATTGCACATACTGCAGGCAATTTTGCGCAAAAACTACTCAAGTTGTCAAAAAATGTTCAAGATCTTAATTCAAGAACTAATTAAAGAGAAAAAATTTACTTGAAGGAAAAAATTGTATCTTCAATTTTGTAGCTGTAGGAAGTCGCCGAACAAAATTAAATCTTTGCAATTATCGACAATTCAGAGTAATCACTGAAAATAAGACCTGGGTCACCTCATTAAATGTATTTTACTTTTTCTTACTAGAAATTTAAAGAACAAATTTGGGGCTATTTTTGAGAAACTTTTGAAAATGTCCAGGGGGCTTGATGTAAAATACCCCCAAAAATTAATTAATATATAAAACATCGCAGAGCTTCGGCTCAGGCCAGATGGACGGGGCTTCCTTTAATTTGAAAAAAAAATCGTAGCATGGTTTAGGCGCTAATGATATTTGTATTCACTAGACAAACGGACCTTTTGAAAACAAAAACAAAATTTTTGGGTATCAGAGGACCCCAAAACGTGAACTTCTGTTGAAATCTCGAAATCATTACTACGTATATTTCTCTATACTATGTATAATATTCCGTATATGCGTACGTATAAGGCAAAGTAAAATATCTTCAATAATGTACTGGTAAAGGCGGGTCCACTTCCACTTGCATTATCTTTAAAAACATGCATTGCTTTATTTGAGAATAAAATATTGAAAACAATTTCAGAAATTTTGGTGTAAATGTCAAGGAGTGCATTTAAAGAACATCCCATTATTAAAATATCCGAAAATTTAGTAATTTAACGGGTCGTGGGATCAAGCCAAATGATTGGGAATATCAATTTTGGTGAAAATCCTGTACTCGTCAGTGTTGTTCTTACTGAGATAGATTAATTATTTGTAAAAAATAATGCTTTTTTGGTATCAATGTCTTCCAAAACGTGAATTTCCATCAATTTTTTGGAGTTGAACTTTATTTCTCTATAGTACGTGTTGTTTTCTTTAAAAAAAATAAAAAAACTGGCGCCGGTCTCATTTTTGTTAAACTATCTGAAATATCGAATATTTAATAATCCAGAGTCGTGCTAAACGTCGGGAAAGGATACTATTGCCGTGCGAGTGATATTATATTGTAATTGTAAGGTGCTTGTCGTATTGACTCGAAAGACTTTTGTTTCCATCCCAGCACAGAAGAAAAATTTTAGCTGGTTGAGAATACTTTGTGAGGTTGATGTGGTAGTATAATTTTGCTTTGCCGTTACAAATAATGAAAGAAAGTATGCGTTGTTGTAACACCACTATTTCGGTTCAAGGACACCCCCAAACGTGAAATTCCGTAGAAATCTTCAACCTGGAATTTTCGCAGTATCACATCTCTTTCTCTTCTCAGTATAGACGTTCGTGAGGAAGTAAAAATAAATAACATTAAAAATAATCTAGTTAACATGTATTAGTTGAATAACGACGTTAATGGATAATTGAATGACAAATAATGTAACTTCTACGTTATCTTAGCGTTTTTTATCGTTGTATCATATTAATCTTCTTATACACTAACAGAACATTGAATGTAGTTATGTCTACATAATTATTCATGCGTACTTACTTGATCAGGTTCGTAATGATAGTCGAGGTTGACATTTTTGTCGTTGATTAACTCCAGAAAATCTTCCAGTTTATCCCGACGCAAAGCCTCCATGATGGCCTTCTGCGCCTTGCCCTTGGGGGGTGGTGGCGGTGGAGGCGGTGGAGGCGGCGGTGCTGCTGGCGGCGGCGCTGCTTCACATTTCGTGGCCGAGGGCATTTCCAGCCGAATGGCTTCAGGCTCCTCCATGTCACTGACTGAAGGCGATGGCGTTCGCCGACCAACAGAAGTTTCAGCTTTCCTTCATTGGCATTTCCTGGTGAAAGGATTGGAAAATGCAGTGATTGATTTACTCAGATTAAAATTCCGCTTAATGATTAGTGATAAAATATAAGTGAATTCTACCTGAAAAATTGAAGATAAAACTTTACAAATAATTTTTTATTTTAAAATTATTAAAAAATTACACATTTTACTTTTTAAATATGACTTTATTGCCACCGGGATACATTGTACTTTAATCTCTCCGTCTCTCAGAATATATAGCTCAGAATGAACAAAGTTTCCCTCCATTTGCCCATTTGTACCCACCACACTAAAGACAGAAGCAAGAAGTGTCGAAAATTAATTCACTGTCCATCCACATTGCGGATTCAAATTGTCCGTCGTGACTGCCTTGAAGAAGGAAGTGCAACTATTGATAGTCAAAGTCAATAACCAAAGTGTCACAAGCCTCTATGCGGGTTTTAAAAACAAACCTAAAATTGAAAGAAAGAAATGTTTTAGAATAATGTTTTGTATATGATAAGGCATTTCAGTTGTATTCACTCGGGATAGTTATGTTTTTTATTATCAGTTTCAGATCTACATACTTTCGGTTGGTACATTGTCCCAGGTGCGGCTATAGTGGCATTTGGCTGAAACCTTTCATTGTATTGATCTGCCTCTGTGCTCTTATTTATCGAGTTTCCCTTGTTACCCTACGTAGCGAAGCTAACGAGCCCATCTGTACTAGCCACGAGTTAAGGGGAAGGAATTAGACCGCACCCAGAAGGCAGCCCTGCCGCGGCTCGCGAGCCTATATCACTCGTTTATGAGAGCAAACAGACCCACTGACGCCGGAGAGGACGAAAAGACTGGGTTGGCTGATTGTTTAGTGATTCCGGGCACGTCAACAGCCAGGTACATTAGTCCCGTAAGCATAATGCATGTTTTTTGCTCGGGAGGTGGCGGTGATCTTTCCCACGCTGTATGGCGAGATCCGGCGCCGACCTACTATCGGCTAGCGGGGTTTTCCTTAACCAGGTATCTCCCACCAGCGGGGCGCCGCCCCAGCCGGGGCAAACTCTTAGCTTCTGGCGGGTCTCTGTGGCCCGTTTGTTAGGGTACTGCTCCGGCACTCGCCTGGTGTTGATCGGAAAAAACCGGGGGAAACTACCGATCAGAGCAGCCGGCGTATAGAATTCTCCTCCAGACGAATATACTTGGGAAAGGCGCGATCCTAGCACAGCGCGGACATGCCTTTAACGCATGCTCCATCAAGTCCCAAACGAGCTTCGAACGAAGGGACAAAATGGGAAGTGTGATGCATTATGGGTCTGGCAGCCCCCCATGCGACATCACACGGAAAAACAAGCATGGCTTTGCAACTTCGCCTGTCCCGGCCGTCTATGAGAAATTATGGCACTCTTGCCGTTGCGATCGATACCTGACCTTTCTCCTTTGCGAATAAAACTATACTGAAACCACTTGTTATGATAATTTATGTTGTTTCCTATATTTTATTACATAGTCACTTTTGTGATTGATAAATAAGGAG